GGCACCCAGGAGCAGTCTGTGCTGGCAGCGTCCACACGAGCTGCAGCCCCAGCGCCTGCACGTGGCTGACGTCTTCTTCATCCAGTGCTTCCTGGCCGGGAGCTGGGACCTCTGCCGAGACAGCCCTTTGGGCTAGCATGGGTCCCGCTTCTGAAGTGCATTGCCGTGACAGCAGCTGGCTCTCTTCAGGCCACAGTTCTTCACACCATCGCCTTCCTGTTTATGAAACCCTGATCCTTCCCTCCCTGACGCTGTTCCCAGTGCTCGGTGGGATGTAACTGGATCCTGGCAGGAGGCAAAGGCAGTCCCTGGTTATTCTGATTTAAATCTGTAGCGCTAGCAAGTGTCCTGGGAGCTGATGTTGGGACTTGCCGGAGCTTAGCCCTACGGTCCTGTCTGCAGACATAGAATTGGATTACAGCATCTTTAAGCTGTGCACTGGGAACCATTTGTATCTGGCACCGCTGGATTTGGGGACCGTCTTTCCCAGGACTGATGTGCCAATGACAGCGGGTTCACGCAGAGTTTACAGCCAGGTCTTGGCACTTCTGTGCCAGCATCGGGCCCGCTGCTGCTCAGATGGCATCATCTCGCTTCTCCCAGCACCCACCTTTCTGCTTTTCAAAAATACGGAATAAGGCCTAGAAGCAACTTAATTCTGCCCTAAAATTGTCAAACTCACTCAGGATGTGTAAGGTCATTTGCAAATGCGATGGAGCTGATTGCCTCGGCTCAGCCCACGTGTCCCTTGCCCTTAGACCCACAACCTGCCTTTTCGCATGCAGCTGCCTGCACCGCAGTTTTCTTTGGTTTATGCTTCTTGCTTTAGATTTAGCGCTTTATTTTGGGACCATTGCCTGTTTGGTTGGTCCTGGTCCCTTCTCTTGGGAGTGAAGACAGCGAAGCAACGGAGGTTTGCACTTTTGCAGCAGCCTTTCCCTCCATGGCTGTGAACTGCATCTGAAGCGAAGAGCTGCTGGCTTCTGCTTCTGGCCAAGACTGGTTTGTGGTGTCTTGGTTTAGCAGAGGGGCTAAACCGCTTGGTTGAGGATGGGCCTCTTCCTTGTGAAAAGCCTCAGGAATTCAAAGCGCTGTTTCTAGGGAAGAAGAGGGGCAGGCAGGCTGAGCCAGGCCCTTCCAAGGCAGGACGGGGTGAGGATGCAATTTTTTGTGCCCGTATTAACTCGCAGGTCAGAAAACTGATCAGAAGAGAGGCCAGACCACGAACCAGGGTACTGCAGTGTCCCATCTCACACTGAAGCATGCCTGCCTTCTGCAGCTGCTTTAATTCCTTGCACGAGCTGTAGCTGCCCAAATGTAAGCTCCAGCTTCTGTGTTTCTCTGCTGCAGAATTGTTTTGAGATCCCTTGTGCCTCCTGCCACTGAGGAGGGAGTGATTCCCACCGGGAAACAGGCCACAGGAGTGGGAAAGAGCTATCGCTCCGTGTAGATACACCTGCAGCCCAGCAGCAGTTTGAATGCTGCCGTCCAGGGCAGCTCT